CAACAGTACCCTGAGCTACTAGGATAAAACCCACAGACCCATTTTAATCCCCTGATGTTCCACAGATCTGGCTCCAACTAAGAACTTCTGTGTTTTCCAAAAAGTACCATAGAGTGTCAAAACACTCAGAAGTCTATGCAGTTACACAGTGAAGACAAATGGTGAGAGGATTATTAATGTTCACGCTGCACTGAAAAAAGCTCATGACTTACAAACCATAAACTCGTGTAAAAAGAACTAAAAGTAACATCTGTAATAGAAACATATTGATCTACCTTTAATGAAATCCAAACAGTGGATGAGAGTCCACAGTGAGAAAGGGAGAAGAGACTCCATGGATTTCATATTATAGAAAAACACAAGTCCACAGTGTGTGGGGAGAATAAAACATTTTGCCTCTTCCTTCTTTAAATCAACATCCATGTTTCAGTTTTAATTCTTAAATTCAGGAAGTGTGCTCAGATGGCCAGTTTTGCTTTTAACGGTTTTAAAGGTTACTCAGTGAAAATCCCCAAAGTTTCTGTCAGCCAAAATAAGAGCTGTCTGACTTAAGCTACTTCAGTGCTTGATTATTTAATTACTAACCAGAGGGGACACTGGGTCATCTTTTATGAAAGGAACTTTCTAAATCAGCATTTTAAGTATTTTAATGACTTTATATAAAATGTTCAGATTGCATTAAAATACGCAACAAGTGTAAAAATGCCCACAAGGTGGAGACAGACAGACACAATGCTGATGAGGACATTTGTGAGACTAGTTTTCAAATTTTTTGATGTCAAAGGCACATCTGCCTGGTTACTGTTATTTCTTCATCCCACTTACCACAGCAGATAGTTTCTCTGATGCCAGGTTACAGAGTAACACAAGAGTAATGTTTCTAAAAGTAAGAACATATATTTTTTAAATTTATTTAGAACAGCAGTAATACGGACAGACACTGACACATAAAATGATACAGTAAACCACAGCACATATTATAAATTAAAGAAGTATTTGACAAATGTCTTATAGCAGGTTTATAAAAAACAATATACTAGTTTGTATATACAATCCTATATAAAACAAATGCAGCCTGGAGCGTGAGCGGCACTGGTGAAGGTTTGCACTCTCAGAGTGCTTCTTAATAACATTGTGACATTCAATTTGTCCCTTAAACATAAAAGTCATCAAATGCAAAAATGAGACAGTTTTCTGTTCAGTTTATATAATTTTAGATTCATACAAAATCGAACATCATTGCTGCTCAGTGTAAGACTATTGCTTTAATCCCAGTGATTGTTGATCATCTTCTTCACACACTCGAGTTAGAGACGATCAGGCCATTTCCTTTTAGCCTCAGCTCGAGCTGCAGGAAGAATAGAAACTATTTATAGTGCGACATTTTTCAAAGGTGACATTTAGTCACGTATAAGCTACTTCATACAACAGCAACAACACCTATTGTTTCCAGAGAACCAGCTCTGTTGACACATTGACTGTAACAAGGATATTAGATAAGTGTTTGTCAGCTGTTCTGCCACAGAAATGACTCAACAGCAGCTGGAAACTTTACTGTGAAACGTGATGCAAACAAGTGAACATCCATCCTCACTGCAGGAGCATGAACATACT